GAATATCGTGCCAACTGAAACATGAGGCGGCCCGTGTGCAGCACATTCAGTCGTAGAATATCCTAAACGAGAGATTCAGTTGAGTCTCTCGTGTAAACCAAATTGATTTGCAAATGAGTGTATTTCTCGAAAGCTAAAGTGTTCTAACATCATTTCTTTCTTATTGGGAACGATCCACAATACGCATCTCACAACCCCCTTCCGAGGGATTTTCGAACCCGCAAATTTGCGGTAGTTGAGACCTCAAGCGTTCGGTCATTAGCGGTTGACGAGTGGTGGGATTAGCTTTCACTTAACTAGGCCATTCATCATTCCATAGCAGAATTCAAATCACGTGTTGGATTTTATCGATTAAACTATCGCAATCTCCCGGATCTATCAACAAAACTGCTCACACCGGAACTGCTGTGGTTCCAGCTGATGCGTTGGTCCATTTTCTCCTGGTGTTTCAACCCTTAGAGCATCCTGGTCACTTGTTATCACTGATGCCGTAATTTGGTTTCAGGAAATCTGAGATACTAAACGGGTCACAGAAGACCTATAGTTGTTGCCTGGTTCTATCTGCGGGGTGTAAAATCTTCAATAGAGCACACAATCGTTTATTACATTCTGACCCATTTGGTTGGCTTCTTCTTGCTCAAGTGAATGAACGACTAACCACACAGTTCTCACAAATAACCGATAAAATTTTGATTCCACCCAGGGTGTGAGTTTTTCCCAATTGGGCAATCAATATTGGCTGACACGCGAAGACATAGCTATATTGATTTGATATGCCTGAATAAATATGTACATATTTTTGGTTTGGAAACTTTTTCCAGAAGAAATTCTTTCAATTATTCCCTCCAAATGAAAAATTTATTGATTTTCCGCTAACTTGCCGTCTAGCACTCGACGCTGGGATTGTCTGGTTGACGGGCATCAACTGCCATTTATTTTTTTATCGACCGAGGCACTGGGTTGAAGTAGAGGGTTGATCAGTTCACCGAGCTTGGCAGCTAGGTTGCAAACGTGTTCGCGGTCGGAACGCCGCAGGAAAACTGCAACATGAAGAGATGTTGATGGGTACCTGACCACTGTTCGCGATGGCTGTGACGGGGTTAAACGTAGGTTTTTGATGAATACCACATAGTAAAAACCATAGGTGCACACGAAAAACGGATGAAAAGAAGTCACTTATGAATGGCAAAAAGAACGATATGATGTACGGCGAAGCATCGTGGGACGCCGGCAGTGACGTTGCCAATCCGTGAAACAGTCTCATCAAGGCAACTCTGAAGAAACCGGATGATAAAAGGCCTCTCATCTGGTTGAGAAGCATAGGATGCAGGTGAATCGTTGTGAAAAGGGAGCTCTGGTAGCATTCTAGTTTGAAGTCATTGGAAATATTGAGCGAAACGAATTCAGCCTAATCATTGATATCCTGAATCGATGATCACAGGTGGCTGAAGTAACTTGGGAAGCCACCGATATTACGTCATCGCATCAATTCATGTTGGTTGTCACTGAGTAGGACACTCCGTCCAAGACCAAGGGTGGCATCCACAGCTTTGAAAGTGGTCACTGGTGGTTGAAAACGGAATGGTGGAAGGAGCTACGAGTTCACATATGGACAGTGGGGAATGATGGCCAGATGGCCCAGCGATTAGAGCGCGAATTTACTGACGGGAATCCGACCTCTGAACCTCAACTTCTCCTGTCTAGGTTTGGGTAACCTGGCAGAATCCCAGCCCTCGTGAATCCTTCGCGTAGCATGAAAACCAGGCACCGTAAGTGTATTAAAGCTGGAAGATTAGCTCTCATCTTTTATTCGCTTGTTTGGTGATTTAGCTGGTACTTCAACCCAGAGACTGTGAGTGGATGTGGTTCCTGGAGAGCGAGCAGTGGTAAGATCCCAGACATTGGTGTGGAGAGACGATTTATCAACCGGGCACGCTCTCCCTCAACTTGAATTTCACACCACTTCACTTTTCCGTTGCACTAACCGATTTTCGGTCATGATTTTGGTGACAGTCTAAGTTCACTGGGGATTTAGTCGTATCAGTGAAGCCAGCCTATGGTGAAAAGTCGAGAAGCTCTTTCATACTCGTTGAGAATCATCAACGATGCGCATCTTACAAAACTCGAGACAGCTCCGAACCGGCAAACTACGGGTCATTGGTTGAACAAATAACCGCTTGACCATGAATGGGTGATCACTAAGACACGAGATAGCATCACTAATCCTTCACTAACGAAAACCACATCGCGTGGTCACATATTGACTGTTTTCTCGTGGGGAATTTTCCCACATTCAGCGAAGTAAGATAAACCCACCTTCCAGGACTAACATCGACCCGATAAATCGAAGAAGGATAAAGAACAATTATACAAATTAAGTGTCCACTTGACTACCCAAGCACACCCAACTCAGCCATGCGAGGAAGGAAAAACTACATTAAATGGGAAAGGATAAAGGGCCAATCAGACTCAAGGGGATGATATTATGGCAAATTATGAATGAGTTAATTAGACTGAAGCAAGGAAAACAGCCAGAAGTAGAAACCATCATCGTGCGCAACCGAATTCAAAAAAGGGGACCACAACGCAACACAAACCCGGAATGGACCAATCAAAAACGTACCGAAAACAATGAAGGAACGGTGTAATAGCTTCGATGATTTGCGAACCACACTTTATCATCCCGCAAAGTAAGACATCCTAGATGACGCTGGTGAACCCTAGTCATCCCAGTAACATCACAGAAGTAATGTTTCCCTTAAAGAGGGAAAGAACGTCCATTTCTAGAAGAAGTCCACGAAAATTTTAACTTGGGAAAATCGTGTTCCACTGACCTTTCTCCCTGGACGATTATTTTTTTGGAATTCCGCTCCTACATTAGTTTATGGCTTTGGTGCTCAGCTGCAACCCGCTAGTTATCAAGGTAGGACACTTCCAGAGTTTACACCATTCTGGGGGGCTTTTTCACAAAAGCATTGTTTCCAGATTTTCTGGGCTGATACGGTGCTCTCCCCGGAATGCAGAATCCCACTAATAGCCATCTACCTAAGCATCTCCATTCAACCAAACTGATATATCTGTGCGAAACACCCGTAACTGACTTCTCGATGCATATTTCGATAACTCGAGGAGAAATATCTGCCCATTTTTACCGCTGCGTGCCTCGTTGTTAGAGGTTGTCCCGCCAAAGGCGTTGATGGAATCCCGGCGACTGCGCCAACCTGATGAGCCCCAAAAGAGGCGAAACCGGTCGTGGGCTGTCGATGGATTTTCAGCAACCTTATGAGTGGTACATTACACAGACATGCCTATCGTCTTTTTTCGTTCTATTTAGTAGTCTAACTGTGATTGGGTTAAAATGAAATTCAACGAAATATCACAAACGTTCCGATCTTACATTACGGTGTTCAGGTAGAACATAACTTTGTTGGTTACTCCTAACTGATGAGCCCCAAGAAGGACGAAAGTGGTAGTGCGTTGTCGAAGAATTTTCAGGAAATTTATGAGTAGTATCTTATCAGGCAGCCTAGTTGGATGTCATGAGTATCGTTTCCAGCTGGAAGGACCTTTTGCGGTAAATACATGTGAAGGGTACCACGAATGGAAGTTTAGTTCTGACTTTACTTAATTTGTAACCGGGCGTTTCACTCCTGTTGTGTCCAAATGAATGTTGCGGAAGGTGTAAAACAGTTGGATAGTAGGTCTCTCTGAAGAACACCACAAATGAGTCCAGCCGATAGTAGACTGTCGAATAGCAGCTTCAAACCAAAGATTACATTCCAATATAAGCGAGCGTTTCTCATTATCCGGGAAGACAGTTGCTCTTCAAAACCGAACATCACATCGATTAGACAGATGACGCATATGGGCTTCGGACCAAAGGAAGGTGTGCTCTGATTGGTCAGAATGTTAGCCAATCAGAATCCAGCAGTATATCTCGACGCTTCTCTCCCACTCACGAAGTTTATAGCGTAAACTTGTGGAACATTTTGCATTGATCCTATAAATACAACTGTAAGACTCTTCTCTTGTCTCTATACAGGGCTGTCTCAAGTCACATTGCCTTTTAAAATACCACAAGGGACCAAGAACCGATACAGAAATTGCTCAACTGTCTACAGTAAACAACACTTACGTAAAGATTTCAACGTGCCCAACGTTAAGTAGGCCAAATATCTACCTGCTTGAGTAAACGCTTAGTCAACTTTTGCGATCATTTGAAGGACACCGATGTAATGTCGATTACTTATTAGATTGCGCGAATCCCCTCTCTTTGTTCATCTGTCCAGAGGCGAGTGGCATGGAGAAGTCATGGTGCACTTGTTCGGTTCATTGACCCGTAAAGAACGAATTCGGTTTTGGAAAGATGTGATGCGGCTCACGATGACCAGACATGAGAACATTGCTTTGTTTATGGGGGCTTGCGCAGAACCACCAAACTTTGCCATCGTTACAAGGTGAGTATGTTGCACTTTGCTCCGGCCTATTCGTTATACTATTTGTTTAGTTCAGGTTCTTTCTCACGACAGAACACGACTGTCTTCGAGCTGTATCACTCACTTCGTGTAGCGGTTGGCTAGAAGAAGCTGGGTAGTTGCGGTGGAGAGACCAATCCATCAGAACGATCAGGAGTGTTACCCTTTTGGGAGAAGAGGTTCACTATTGAAGCACGCTTTGAAAAGCCGACTTATAGTGATGGAGACCGACTGATTATCTCTATTGGGGGATGCGACCTTCCTTACTCATTGATGGTACCATTTTGGACTAGGTTTCATTGATTTCTGTGGAGCTGTTTGACTGAAAAGTCCTGACAAGCGAACTGATCGGCCGACTCGATCAGGATAGTTACTGAATTGTCGTTGGACGGCTTGGCACCTTGGTAGCCCACCTCAAGCATGAACACGTTGGGTATTTGGAGTGGCACTTCAGATACGGCGAGCCTGCGCTGGCGGAGTAGCGATAACCTATTCATCACACATGTCAAGTATCCGAAGTTCGAATCCCGGCATGCCCAACAATGTGTACTGCTGACGAGCCATAATAAGAATGAAAACTGAATCCATTCATCAACCATTTGGTGTGGCTTACTTAAACCGAATGAGCTAGGACAGGAGGGAGTCTTTTTCAAGGAACTTGATTCAAACGCAGAATGACTTGGAAACACCATTTACCGATTACTCTCTGGATGAATCACAAACTCTGAGCATTTGTCAGCGTATCGATACTAGTTCTCTGTCATCAAATGCATCTGAAGCTAAAATCTGAACGTTGGAGATTTTTATATCCGATCAGAGCCATAGTAGCATTAAACGGGGTCTTCGTACGTACGACTGAGTAGTACTCCACGTTCAACGGCCCGAAATCTCCTTATAGCGAAAACTGACGAGACGGATCGAAATTTTTGTCCCAGTCTGAGGGACTGCCTTAGGTGTTTAAATTTCGTGCTTGTTAGGTGGAATTCCACACGGATCCCATTCTACCGCTCGCAGTCAGGCGGTGCTGCGGCCGAGAAGCCTATCCCACTCAAGATTGGCCGAAAATTCGGGACGCTTGTCGGTCCGACACCAAGCCGAGATCTGATTGGTCGAAGGTCTGGATCCAGTATTGGCCGAATTCCGGTTGCCAATGCCGCATCCAGAACGCGTCAGAATTTCCGGAAAGTTTTTACCGCCTACGCTATATATATGAAGTGCTTTACAAGTGTTCCTGACTGCGTTTTGGGCACCTTTGGTGGTGTTTTGACGTGTTGTTTTGACGTGAACGCTAGCTCGTGAGGCTCCGACCGAGAATTAAGCTGAGAAAAATACCGCTACTGCAGTGCTTTTCCATGATCTATCTGGCATTCCTACTGTTGCTCGTCTACTGACTTCAGAAGTATCCTGATTCATTCGAGATTTACGTTCTTTTCAGTCTTCATAGGTATGACAATTTTTCCAACATCACTGTGCGCTTTCACATCCTAGGTAAATAGTTTTCACAAAAATAACGCTTTTTATTGCACGTGTGACGAAGAACAATCTATGTAATATCGTGATTGCTTAGTTGCTTCAGTTTCTGTTACCCCGACGTATAGCTACGAAGTCCTGGTTAGACAGGTAGAGGTCTAAGTTCTCACAATCATCGTCGACGATACATCGGTGCTGATGCTCTGTCACCGTTCAACCATAATTTATTCGAAAGCGTTATCGCGGGAAAAGTGACACAATTGGAGGGAATTAGTGCTAGTCTCTACCACAAATATTCTGAGATGCCAATACACCCAGGCACTCACTCAGAAAATCTGGACAGAAACTGAGGACGAAAATGCTATTGACATCGATCGACGGCGTATCCAGCCGTGCACACAGGGATCACGTGAATCATATCCTGGACCCTGACTCCCGTGCGTCCCCGAGAAGTGGAGAACGAAGGGAATCCTAATGAATATCTGCTCCGTAAGAAGCAACCGTCGGTTAGTGATCCACGCCATCCGTAATTGATGGCGATGTGGTCAATTCGGTCGATAGCTAGCATGCTGTTAGAGGGCATCACGCAGTCAAGCTATTCCGCTTGTTCCGAAATTTAGCACCGTATAAAAACTGTTTGTGATTGGAGCGGTCTTCCTCCTTTATCCATACTCACCGAGTCCAATGCAAGTCTTGTGCTCAGTTGAGCCCCAGATGCTCTGAATCTGTTCATCTGCGCATCCAAATTCTGAGCTTTTGGGTCACCGTGAAAGGGCACTCAAAGTTTTGTTGATGATGTCAGAAATCCAGTCGGTTGGGGCGTGACCGGATACGACGAAGAAACGGCTATTCAGTTCACGCTTGCGAGACTGATTTATGGACTACGCCTGACGGACAGCACAGAGACGGGTATCCAGTCAAGAAGGATCACTCCATCCGGTGATTTATGACGATTCCAACTCCTGCACATCCTACCGCGGCGGGTTCTGAATTGACAGAAGTGCTCAGTCAGAACCAAACGGAGAGTGATAAGACAGTTAGCTCAGTTACTGTGTTTGCATCTTGCATTTTTATTCCTGCCATCCACCACATATCAAGCGAGTCCATTGTGAGAACTCCTGCTTGCTTCAGACTGCGAGCATAATAGAGCAGCCGGATGATTTGGACACCGAGGATTGATTCCGAGTTGTCTGAGGATGTCAACAACCGGTGACACGCAACTGCTGCAAAACCGGGATCAACTGTCCCAACTGAAGGGCGTGAAAGGAGAGCGTTATCGATGGGAACGGTACGTGAAAGTGAAAGAAGGGGGTGCTAGCAGTATCTTGTATTCGTTTACTTGTCCTGCTGTGTGCAGCACATAGGGAGACCCGGCCTATGTGGCATGGCAGTATATTCAGTTGTAGGGACCATAGTTGTAAGCTGGGATTCTGTTAGAGCGTCTAAGCCTGGACATAAGATTATGGCTCAAAGTAGGTGCACATTGAACCCCAAAGCCCAGGTAGAACCTCCCAGTGAGACATATGATTGCCTACAAGCCAGTGTGATAGCCACAAATCTGACCACGTGTTTGATTCCGGCGTCAAGATTCACGAACCTCAGCAAGGAATGGGTACAACTAAGCTGGATGCGGTGTTGGGGATCATTTGAGTTGTAGCTGATCAGCTGGTGTACAGGCATTAGGAAATCATGACTTGGCCTTTATATTCCGTTACGTTCTATCCATGTCATGCATATACTTACAAACAATTCAGCAGGCTGTTTCACTTTCTTCGGTCACATTTATTTTCTCTTGATTCCAGTGCCTGCAATGGTATATCCTTGTACAAAATGCTGCATGTTCAGCATGAGAAAATCCCGAGAAGATTCCCTTTTCAAATTCTTCGTCAAGTTATCCACGCAATGGAATATTTGCACTCACGGAACAGGCCAATAATCATCCGACATCTGACAAGTCGGAACATTTTTCTTCAACCCAAAGTTGTGCTCTCACTAACGGACTACGCGTCAATGGAGTGTCCTTACCAGACGTAGGTTTAACAAGTGATTTTTAATGAAGAAATGACCAGTCTTTCGTGATATTTGAGTAGTAGATGTTGTTTAACGTCTGACCTAAGCTAGTGTCACACAGTGTTAGGCGGAATCGCACACCAAAGTCGCCATACCGCTAGCAGTTTGGCGCTGCTACGGCCCAGATGCTTAACGCGCAAGCGATTGGCCAGAAGGTAAGCATCAAGCCGGTCTAGCATCCAGGAGGGCTCTGATTGGCTGAAATTGTGGACCCAATTGCCAATCGTGATTCAGTATCCACTTAATGCAGGTTACCTATGTCGCACCCAGATGGCGTGGGAGTTTTCAGTGTTGTTGCCCAACACAGCTAGAACACAGCACGCTGTACTTTTATTTCTGACCTGATTTCGAGTGTTTACCACAGGCTGCTCAACTGTCACACGCTGTACTTTTATTTCTGACCTGATTACGAGCGTTTACCACAGGCTGCTCAACTGTGGTGCTTCTTTTGACGAGAAAACTGGCTTGGAAGGTTCATACCGGGAACTGATTTGAGGCTTTGTCGTTATTCACACAGGTACCCATCTAATTGGGATCTATCCTACCTACTGTGAGTTACGCTCAACTTCGACGAAGCGAATAGTCTTCACCTGAGCAGTGGTTGCGTGCGGTTTCAGCTTTCATCAGCCAATCTGAAGTACGGCTCATCGTGTGATTCCGAACCACGAAACTCCATTGTGAGTGTGTGGATGATCAGGCTTCTGAACACGTGTCGCTTTCATCCGGCAACGACTCCAGGAGATGCCTATCAATTTACGGTCTATGAAAACGCTATTTTGTCCGATGAGAGCAAAGACATATTGATTAACTGCCAAACAAATGAACCTAGATAATTTGATGCGACTCGATTAATTTAATTGCACGAAATTTCCTGTGCTTTTTAATGAGTCGTTTGGCGGTAGAGAAGTGACAGGTGATCTCATGAACTAAGCCATGTTCCCATCTAACAATCAAATCTGTCGCCTAATAGATCCAGCAACCTGAAACGAGTGATTAATCCATTCTGTCAATTGACTTTGACTACTCATGTAAACCACTAGTAGCATAAGATATCCAATACACATTCGCTTCAGCTGTGTTCCAATTTCGCCTGACTGCGTGAGGTATGTCGCCCCGGAGCTCTTCCGCCACCATTTGTTTAGCAAACGAGAATTCTACAAAAACGTTTCCAAACGAATAAACCGTCCTCAAACTGAATTGTTCCTAAGTCGTCCTCAGCAAAGGCGGCATCCAACCTCTGGTCGGGGATACTTGGAAGAGAGCTTGAGCGAGTCGGAGTCCCCGACACACGGTCCCACTCATCCGGAGATTCGAGAAAAGCGGTTGTCATTGTCAAAGCCACCAAGCGCGGAAGATAAGAATGTCGGAAGTCAAACAAGTCTGAATCAAGTCGCTGAAAGTTTGAGGCCTCAACAGTGTCCCAATAACCGCCCGAAGAAAAAACGCTTTACGTGGAACGGCACATTCTATTTCCGCGACAGCGCTTTCAATGAGACTACAGATATTTATGCTTTCGGGTGAGTTGTCGCATACTCGGTTGGTGCGGTTATTTGTATACGGTATCGGCTTTCACCCTGTCTTGTTGTCCGGTACGGCTTCATGGGGGAACACTAGTTGCAGTTGTCATATGATTTCTCTCTTTCAGTGTGCGCTTTGAGCAGACCGCTTGTTTTATAAAACAATAGACGGATAAATTGTTGTATGAGGGCTTGAGTCCTTTTGTTCTGTCTCAACATGGAAATGAATGATATCCTTGAAAACGTTCGAACTCCGCTTGAAGCATTCAACATTTCAGTGTACTTGTTCGTATCCATCTCAGTAGCTTTTAAGGTACGAGGGCTTGAATAATGTCAGCCTTAGCTCAAGGCAGCGGTGTTTGACTGGAAATGCTAATACATTACCATTTCTACGGATCAAGTCGCCACATGTTCCAACCCCCAACCTGGAGGGCCAGGAGACTGTGTTCGTCAGACCTCTAACCATCGACCAACCTGGTGTGAGAGTCTCTGTGAGTGTCACGGGGACACTTCCCCATATAGCTCAATGGATCGCTGAGGTGCGCGAACCGTCACACCACAGTAAGTTCCAATCTCTTCGTGACAGGAAGTCCTACATAGCTGAATGTGAATCATCTTACATCGTTATTACCAGAAGATCGAGTACAAGATAGGTGCAGCTACCCATTATGGGAGGCCCCTTCTCAGGAACACAGTCTTGACACATAGGTTGTCTTATGGCCTACGAATGTTGTGTAATCCTAATTTATTGCTTTTTATTCTGCAATCATATTATTATTGTGTGTTCGGTAACTGAACGCAAGGTTAACACATGTCAATATGGGCATCGTGTCTAGGTGAGTAAATGCACACGCAGTAAATGTATACGCGGTTGAACCTTGCTGGGGGCAATCTGTCAGTAGCGGTTCAACACCTAGCGATTGCTTTGATGCTCGTTCCAATTCAACCAATCAGAGGCACTAACATTTTCAGTTGTTGATTGGCTAGAAGAGAAGTCGATATTTGTTGCTGGCAGTAGACGTGCTACGTTGTCGAAGATCTAAACTACGGTTACCAAAGTCTTAATTTCTTGTTTTCTAATTTTCCATAGCTATTTCATTTCTAAGCCGAGTGATAGATCATGTACTCCACAAACATTGAAAAAAGACAGATCATCAAGTGAGTAAAAAAACACAATTGCCGATGATTGTGTTCACGTCAAAATGATGTAGGGTTCATTGGGGTGAGAGGTTCCAACTACTAGGAAATGAGAAAATCTAGAGAGCAACTGCATTTGAGTACCCTCGAAGAATGGGGATTAGCCTCTGGTCCATCGTGAGCTTCCATGAGACTACTCATCTTTTCAGATGGAGATTGGGCAGCCTATTCGGTTTCCGAACTGGGGACAGTCAATCGGTAAACTGATCTACTGCCGAGGTTGCCGTTCATGTGCCGCGTAAAGTTGAACATCAACAAACCCTAATCAATCTTCGCCTGGAAGGGGTGAAGCGAATAAGGAATTCTGGCACCAAGTCTTGTAAGATGTTACTCGGATGTGAGACCTCAGGTTGGTAATAATCGGCGGAAATTTATGCTTGATGGTCTCATTCACATGGACGCCTCGTGCGACCAAGATCTTTGATGGTGTTCATTAGCTTGTGAGTATTTCGGTGTTCTGGAGCCAGTCTCATTACAGTACGCACTACATGCAGCTTGAAACAAAACAAACCTCGTCTACTTTTTTGACATTTGTCTTTTCGTACATTTCCGTTTCAGCACGCTAATTTTTGAACTTCATGCCCGGCGGTACCCCTTCCACAACTTAGATAATGCCTCATTTATTGCCGAAGTGTGCGCTGGACGCCGTGATGAAGGTAGCAACTGGTATTGCACGAGATCTGTCAAAGTGAGTGTCCAGCGTGTTACACACATTTGAGAATTGCATGAAGACAGGAACCAGATTAAACACCTCCCTCTACAAAAGTGTTGTAGAAAAGGAAACCTTTGGGCTGTAACACTCGCTCACATGGTCCTCCTGTCACCCTTCTGCACAATGTTTCTTACAAATCGATGGAACGATCCACGCTCTAAGTAAAATGGACTTGTGAACCAGTGATGGTAAGAGTGGTTCGTCGTGTGCTCATTCCGTACTGATCTCCATGAAACAGCCATATACGAGCTACACGAATATAAAAGCCCCATTTGTACAGAGTTTTTGAAAAATGAACGTATTCAAGCGTCCTGTGGAACTTTCCTAGATATTGTTCGAATAACAAGCAATAATGAATAAACAGTGAAAAGCGGTTGAACAACTTCCATTCCAACCTCTCATTAGATGCAGTGACGATTCCTTAACACATGAGCGGATACTACTCGCGTGTTTCGTCAGTAGTCTACACAGTTACAATGATATCAAACACCGATGCACTGAATTATTCTCCCAGCTGTTTCCGGCTCACACAATCTCCATCTACTCTACTGGTTCTCTGTCCGTGAAAGGTTATACCAAGCAAACTGAAGAGAGGGGAGTCGAAAATGTGTCTGCTCAATCAGAACAACAAGCACAACACGGTTTTCAGGGAGTAGTATTTTTGATGGAAACTTATGGAAAATAATCACACTGAAGAACAGTAAATTGGTGCCCTTCTGGATCCACACCCTCATATCACCTGCTTCTGTCGGTGCTAAAGACAGCAAGGCTGAGTAATACTCGCGAGAAGAAAGCATTCCAAGGTCAGATTTTTTCGTTTCAGTTCACTGGACAAGGTCATTTGGTCGAAAGAGTAATTTGGGGTGTTACCAACTTAGAAGGGGCTCCCTCACCTTTTACCTCGACGTTTTCAATCCATGTGTAGCGTCCACGTTAGTCAATGTTGAGGTTCGCGACACGGAAATTTTGAGTGACGTCGACAATCCCGAATATCAAAAAGAAGAATTGGGTTCGTAATTCTACGGTACTATTTACACAAGGGTAAGCAAAAAACCTCAATTGTTCACGTTCGTAGCGTCAAAAAGTTCACAGGTCTGTCACTGACCGGCACAGTGCAGTGTCAACGTCCGCACACCAAACAACGGCGAGCGGAATGATGGCTCAGTAGCGTGGGTTGCGGTCGGTCCTGCCGACGACAGTCTGCTGATTCTCATTGGACGTGTGATCACGCGGAACCCATGAGGAAAGAAATCAAGTTAGCGTACTACTCATAATGTTGCTGAAAATCCATCGACAGCCCACGATCGGTTCCGCCCTTGTTGGGGCTCATCAGGTAGGCGCAGTCCCCAGGTTTCTGTCAACCTTATGTTCTACTTGAACCCAAATTGGACTGTTTTCGAGAAATACACTCATTTGAGCCCCAAGAAGGGTGAAACCGGTCTTGGGCTGTCGACGGATTTTCAGCAACCCTATGAGTAGTACATTACAAAGATATACATGTATCGCGATATTTCGAATATTGTAGCGACTGAAACATGAGCCGGCCTGGTGCAGCACATTCAGTTGCCTGAGAACATCACCAACGAGAGATTCAGCTTAGTTCCAGGTGAGTCTCTCGAAAAAAATAAATTAGTTTGCAAATGAGTGTATATTCGCTAAAAATGTGTGTTTTGTCAATCAGCGATAGTCATCGTTCAATCAACTGCTGACCAGCAGCTTAGTTCCAGGTGAGTCTCTCGAAAAAAATAAATTAGTTTGCAAATGAGTGTATATTCGCTAAAAATGTGTGTTTTGTCAATCAGCGATAGTCATCGTCCAATCAACTGCTGACCAGTCAGCTGATCACATGGCTTTATCTAATTGATCACCGCTTATCCAGAGTTAACAGCTTGAAATGGTCAATCAGAGAACGACATGTCCGATTGCTTCAAGGTCACGTGATGGTCCTTTTAGGACCCGACCACACCTGAACTCTAGGAATGGAATACTGCACTTTCCAGTGTGAGGCTTTGAACACACTTATATTACCTCACTCAGAATTTCCCAGAACGGAAAATATACCACTTTATCTCATGTGAATGAAACCCAGTTCCTCAATAAGCTTCCCCCCCAGATTACCATAGATCATTCAGACAGCAGTTCCACTGATGCTTGTGTTTTTAGTCCGGCGGTTTTACGGAACGTACTCCATTTTCACTAAACCATTTTGTTCCCCTTTAGAACATGATGCTGAGCTGCTGGTTACCAAGCCCAAATCACAGACCTTCTGTTCGTCAGCTGACTCAAGACATCATTCATAAAGTAAGTCACACGCAGTCAAATGAGGGCCTTTTGATATTTAACATTCATGGCTCTGCTTCTGATTGGCTGTTCAGTGAGCTGCCCCGCATCCGACGCCACATTCGATCAACCTGTCAATCGGCGTACAATCAAGCTGATAACATAACAGCTTGTGGGAAAATCACTTCCAATAAACATGAAGCGAGCCGGATGGTGTAATCTAATGATAAGCATAAAATAATGACTATTTTTTTCATAAAGGAAACTACTCACAAGGTTGGTGAAAATCCGTCGACAGCTCACGACCGGTTTCGCCCTTCCAGTTCGGGCTCATCAGATAGGCGCAGTCCCCGAGTTTCCGTCAACCTTATGTTCTACTTGAATCCAAATTGGACTGTTTTCGAGAAATACACTCATTTGAGCCCCAAGAAGGGCGAAACCGGTCGTGAGCTGTCAAAGAGTTTTCAGCAACCTTGTGAGTAGTTTCCTATATGAAAATATACTGCGACATCTCGAATATCGTGCCAATTGAAACACGAGTCGGCCTGTGTACAACACATTCAGCTGTAGAATATCATAAACGAGAGATTCAGTTGAGTCTCTCATGAAAACCAAATTGATTTGCAAATGAGTACATTCCTCGAAAGACAATTTTTCTTCAGTGTTAGGCGATTAAGGAGGGGCCTTCAGTTGTACTTTTGACGCTGGATGGGTTAACCTTTTGGATTATATCGATCAGGTGGTGCTGGAGGTCGGGCCTGTCACGTTATCGGCCCGTTCTGTTGTGTTTATTTATTCACGCTAGGCTGAAGATCATTTATTGGCTTTGACACCTTTACCCGACCAGCGGTTCGTTACCTTGATGCCATTCGATGAACTTCACCCGATAGGAAATGCGGATAAGTTGACTCTTGCCGTTTTGAGCTAACATCATTCCGTCGATTCACTTTTGTCTACTCGTAAGTAGCTTGATATATAGATTAGAGCACACACTGTACGGGGAATGTCAGATGCTCTGGTTTGCCATTTTCTCATGAGGATTTTTCTACTTTCACACTGGATTGCGTTTTGGACACCGGTTTTTGGAGGTCGGAGGTTTGGACCGCCAGATGCTAATTCTGTTCCGACTCCTGCTTGCTCATGGGTTGGGCAGCAAAGATGGTATAAACTGTTTTGGAAGGCTAGAGATGACCCGCACCACTATTCTGTTTCACGTTCTTCGTAGCCCGACTGAAAAAGTTCTTTTTTGCACAATACACTGATGGCTAACTCTACTGGTGTCACGCAATCAATAACAATGTCTGATCTCATAAAGGAAACATATTCACAAGGTTGCTGAAAACTCTTTGACAGCCCATGATCGGTTTCGCCCTTCCAGTTCGGGCTCATCAGGTAGGCGCAGTCCCCGAGTTTCCGTCAACCTTATGTTCTACTTGAACCCAAGTTGAAATGTTTTCGAGTTGTACACTCATTTGCAAATCAATTTGGTTTTCACGACAGAATCATAAGCGAGAGATTCAGTTTAGTCTCTCGTGAAAACCAAATTGATTTGCAAATGAGTGTATTTCTCGAGAATATCTGATCTCATTCAGAAGTGCGGCTTTTCGCGCATGTAGCCCGATTGCGTGTATTCCGAAATCATTTGTTCACTTACTAAGATCACGTGACCTATGCCCACAGAAAACCGTTCCGCATGAGAGCGCTTTTAAGCATTGATTTTAAACGCAATTTTTCATTTTTCTTTGGACATATTACTGATACTTTCAACCGTTGCTGTTGTATTTACCTGGGGAGAAGGGAGGGGATGTGTGTTTTGAAGCGATCAGCATGTATGGAATCGAATCCATGTTGACAATGACGGCTAGGTTAAAAACGAAAATGCTTACCCAGAGAACACAGGTGCAACACAAACCGAAGGACGACACAAGATTAATCAATAGGCATACGCGCATTTTAAAATACCAGTAGATATGTAATTGCGTAAGGTTAAAATCACCGTGCTTCTCTAACAACGTCCACACTGAAAGACTTGCGCCCAGTGGTTAAAGTGCGGTGCAGTTATTCGCTTCTGTAGAGACTGCTTTAAGACACTGACCAAGAAGGTCCACACTGAGTGTAGCATTTCCGAAGAGGAGACTACCGCCTTGTGTTTCATCCAGTCACTTTGGAATGCTAACCAAGATTTCGACCAACACAAAGTGGGTTGGGTATCATAAATTTGTAAGGATGACGAACCGCTTGGTTATCAAATTCTTCTTAAGTATCACTGACAAAAAACATTAGCTATCGTATTTTTGTCCCTTTCCTACTGTCGGCCATGCTCGAGTGACATTCAAGAGATCCACGAGGCTCTTGAATGCGCTGTAGAGTCTTCGAAATTTATCCACCTGAACTGTGAAATGTAGTAGATGTGTGCAGCAGAACTAGCCAGGTCAGAACAGTCCAGCTGAGGGAAATCAGTAGAATCTTCTTCATATTTCAAGGTCTTTTTTGCTAACATTTTATGTCTGATCCGGAAGATGAGCATGTTTTAAAGATTCCTCGGTGTTTTTTAATCACTCCAGCACATTTACTATCGACGTCAGCACTCGGATCCCACAAGCACACACCGGTTCTCGTACGACGACTGAAAGGTGGTCACGAAGACTGGACATCAACCCTGTTATAAAGCCCTATTGTTGACCGAAATTTTTTCGTATAATTATAGAATTACTATTATTGAATTATTATAGAATTATGTTGTCTACATGACTTTGGCTTTTGCTGTAAGGTGTGAAGACCATCTACGCAATCGAACCGTTTACTGGGAGGGGGTTGCGGGACAGGTATTTTGCTCATAGTCACACCACTGTCTCGTGTCCCCGTTCCGGCGTAACTATTCCGGTGAGTCCACACCAAAGAGAAGCACTGGACTCGAGTTTCGCTTTTATTAGAGCTCATCAGCTGTGCATATCCGGTGGCCATGACGGGATTTGAACCCCGGACATCTGACATACGAGGCGAACGCGTAACCACTACTCCACCAACGCACGTTGGGCGCATCTGAATTTTCGGGTCTGAACAGGTGAACGTGTTCACACTTGAGCGATGTGTGCCCGACTCATCGAACGACGACCCAGTAACTGTCCTGATTGTGACGATGGATCGACCCGTCACCGGAATAATTACGCCAGAACAGGAACATGACCGTTCAAACGAGAGTGGTGTGACAATGAACAAACCGTTTTTGTCGTTCTTGATAGTGAGAAAAAAATCGGTTTCTGATACGACCCTTCTCCTAAAGAGCGAAACCATGAGGGGAAATGATTTTGGTAAGCCTAAGTGTCAGGGTTGAGTTTACAAAGTTTGGGGCGTGATCCATATTGCCATACGGGTCAGAAACCTGGTTGCTGCGCGTCGAGGACGTCAAAAAACTTTCAGTGTTTGACCATCTATATGTCCAGGACACTGCCTGAGTCTGGTGGGTACACCGCATTAGTAATGCTGAAGTACGTCGAGTGGTCTCCGGAAGAAATGAATCACCCATGATTGATGAATCGATTACATTCCATAGTTTGCACCAGCTTGGTCACGTGCTCCGTACGCCAGTCTACTGATCTCTTCTAAGGGCTATTTTCGCACAACCTTGTGAAGGGTGGAAACGAGCCTAGGGGGCGGGTCAAACAATGACTTGGCACCAATTACACCCAAAACACAGTGATGGTTACACTAAGCGAGAATCTCCAAAACACAGCAAAAAAGTGCCAAGGCGAGCATCAAACATCGCGCTCCATCCACACAAACACCAGTATTCAGATGCGAACATGTTAATGGTGTGTGGGGGGGAGGGTCAGTTCCTACTGGACAGAAGCGAGCTCATTAGGTCTGTTTTCCGACCACTTGTTGATTTGGTCAGTTTCGTACAAAAAAGAGAAACCTGATCAGTCTGACCAGAACCTAGTGTCTCGTTTGTTATTCACGATGATGGTTGACCCAGCCAGTAGGTGTACTAAGCGTATACTTCGCTGAAGTTGGAGAAAATCGCGCGTTCAAAATTAATCAGGTCGTCAGATCGTGCGGAACTGGTCTGTTGCATGTGTGAGACATCCGTGGCCTTGTTCGGTTCGAGAGCAAAATTGATCTACTCGTCTAGCACTTTCAGCAATTTTCGTAGAGAACACCCAACTTCATTATCACGCTCATTGGCCACTCAGCTACCGCCAAGGCGTTGTTTATACGACCCATTCAAGAAAGATGTGACCTTCTAAATAAAGAACTGAGGTAATTCGATTGCGTGAAGGTTCTCCAGTGATCAAATGTGAAAATTTTCACAGGTTTCGAAACCCCACAGCCCGGGTTTTCGCGTAAGGCAACAATAGTGTGATTTTTCAAGATCCGCTAAGAAGTAATGATATTCAAAAAAGCGGGTAAATAAGGGATCCCAGAGGAGAGATGCCTTTCAGTAAACGTTCATTTGCACTCAGACTGAGTTTTGACAGGATACTTGGCTGAATACCGCTAGAGCACTCGTTTACGATGGTCCGTTTCACCCGAATGTGACGCACCTGACCGCCTCATATTTCAGTTGACACGACTTCCTGGGTGTTGTATAGGCGTAAGACACTACTCACAAAATTGCTAGGAACTCTTCGACAGCCCTTCTTGGCACTGATAAGGTAGGTGCGGCCTCTGTCAGCTCTATGTTTTACTCAAACTACAGTTGGATGAATACTCTCATTTGCATTCGAATATGGTTTTGACAGAAGACCGAACTGAAGCCAACCGAATTTCTCGTTTATAAGGCGACGTCGTAAAGCACACACAGTTGAAGCGGTGCGATTCATGTGGGTATCCCGTCTAAACCAGTTTGGGCTCATGGAACATAACTCGGACGGAAACTCGGGGACTGCGCCTACCTGATCAGCTCGAACTGGAAGGGCTAAACCGGTCGTGAGCTGTCGAAATGCTTTCAGCAACCTTGTGAGTAGTCTGTTACGCATGAGCAATGCATTGCGACATCTCGAATATCGTGTCAACTGAAACATGAGGCGGCTTGGTGCAACCGATCTAGTTAGACTGGAACAACCTAAACGATATATTCAGTTGGATTCAGTCCAGTCGCCTGTGCGAATGAGAGCACTCATTGAATTCTGTCGGATTTGGGTTCATCAACTTCATTATCACGCTCATTGGCCACTCAGCTACCGCCAAGGCGTTGTTTATACGACCCATTCAAGAAAGATGTGACCTTCTAAATAAAGAACTGAGGTAATTCGATTGCGTGAAGGTTCTCCAGTGATCAAATGTGAAAATTTTCACAGGTTTCGAAACCCCACAGCCCGGGTTTTCGCGTAAGGCAACAATAGTGTGATTTTTCAAGATCCGCTAAGAAGTAATGATATTCAAAAAAGCGGGTAAATAAGGGATCCCAGAGGAGAGATGCCTTTCAGTAAACGTTCATTTGCACTCAGACTGAGTTTTGACAGGATACTTGGCTGAATACCGCTAGAGCACTCGTTTACGATGGTCCGTTTCACCCGAATGTGACGCACCTGACCGCCTCATATTTCAGTTGACACGACTTCCTGGGTGTTGTATAGGCGTAAGACACTACTCACAAAATTGCTAGGAACTCTTCGACAGCCCTTCTTGGCACTGATAAGGTAGGTGCGGCCTCTGTCAGCTCTATGTTTTACTCAAACTACAGTTAGATGAATACTCTCATTTGCATTCGAATATGGTTTTGACAGAAGACCGAACTGAAGCCAACCGAATTTCTCGTTTATAAGGCGACGTCGTAAAGCACACACAGTTGAAGCGGTGCAATTCATGTGGGTATCCCGTCTAAACCAGTTTGGGCTCAGCCAGAACAAAAGGTCGAAGGAAATTCGGGAACTGCGCCTACCTGATGAGCACTTGGAAAGGTGAAACTCGTCGTGAGCTGTCGAAATGCTTTCAGCAACCTTGTGAGTAGTCTGTTACGCATGAGCAATGCATTGCGACATCTCGAATATCGTGTCAACTGAAACATGAGGCGGCTTGGTGCAACCGATCTAGTTAGACTGGAACAACCTAAACGATATATTCAGTTGGATTCAGTCCAGTCGCCTGTGCGAATGAGAGCACTCATTGAATTCTGTCGGATTTGGGTTCATCTAGAAAATAAGATTGAAGAAAACTCAGACTGCGCCTACTTGATGAGGTCGAACAAGAACAAAACCGGTCGTGGGCTGTCGAAGAGTTCTCAGCAACATTAGAAGCAGTGTGTTACAAGGAATTTCTCTACTTTATTCCACCATCAGAAAAGGCACATGTTTTTCGCCACGTCAGGATTGCCAGTCAAGCTTCGAAAGTGAAGCTCGATTGACATGGCTAGCTTACGCGTTTCTCGGAAGGTCACCTCCAGGGCCGGACTCTTCGAAGAATCCACCAACGATAAACCCATTTGCATTAGGTCCTCTAGTCTGCAATTGGTTTCTCCCCTTCGGGGACAGATATGCGGCTACAATGGGCTTGATTATTTCAGCGAGACAGTCCTTTGATTCAGTATGACGGACATATTGATTGGCCAGCCGAATGAAATGGGGGGAACAAGTGGTTGCTGAGTGAAAAAATTCCACTGATAGCCAAAAACGGTTTTAGCTCCACTCACAATGACTTTTCCATATTCCCCATCCCATCTAGAGCGCCAATGTAAGGTCACATACGTGCGGGCTGTGTAGAGCTACCGTGCCTTTTGATATACCATAGTGGGCGGAGTAGGAAGCCAAGAGACCGATACAGAGTTGCACTACCATTCACCAAGTTACAACAACTGGCGACAGCTCGAACCCACGATGTCAATTTCGGCAGAGCAACTCCAATTAATTTTACAGCAACAACAGAAGCAGTTCGAAGAAGCTCAAATAAGGCTTGTTGATTCTCTGATGCGCAGTATGCCGGTGAATGCCAGAAAAACGTTTGAGCCTCTGTCTTCTTCCGCGGATGATGCTGCCAGCTCAATTACCGAATTCAATTTCGATGCTGAATCTGGATGAACCTTCGAAAGTTGGTTCAAGAAATATGAAGATATGTTTCAAACCAACTTTGCTCAGTTTGATGATGCATGGAAAGTTCGAGTATTGCTGCGGAAACTGGGGACAGCTGAACACGATCGGTTCACAAATTTCATACTCCTCAGACTCCCTCGTGACCTTGGTTTCGCAGATGCTGTCGAAATTCCGGCCCAAATATTCGGTGAGCAAAGTTCCTTGTTCAATATTCGTTATCAGTGTCTCAAGATCACTAAAAGGGATACTGAGGATTTCATCACCTATGCCGGTGTGGTCAACAGAGAATGCGAGCGCTTTCAGCTCAGCTCCATGACCGAGGATCAATTCAAGTCTCATCTTCGTGGCTGGTCTTCAATCGCCACACGATGCAGATATTCGGACCCGGCTACTGAATCGAATTGAACAGGATCCAGAGTTGACGCTTCAGAAACTTACCACCGAATGCCAACATCTTATCAATCTCAAGGCTGACGCTGCAATTATTGGATATTCCAAATTCTCTCAGCCCGATATGGTGTGCAAAGAAACTTCCAAAAGGAAGTCAAATTCAAAACGAACTCCAAGAAAACCGTCCACATCCTGTTAGTTTTGTGAAGAATGGCACTATTCACGCCAATGTCCCTACCGGAACAACAAGTGCAGTAAGTGCAGTCGAAAGGGTCACAAAGAAGAATGCTGCAAAGACAACTTCAGGAGCTCGCGCAAACACCGACCCGACAAAAGAAGGCAGGCAGAGGCCATGACCGCCACATTCAGGATGAAGGCACCCGGTCGACGTAAATTCGTCACATTATGTATCAATGGCACACCAGTTAC